AAAATAAAATAAAATAAAATAAAATAAAATAAAATAAATAGAAACAGACTGACTCCAAATGACTAATATACCATTCTGTAAATGACATGCTTTATACAGTGTTTTACTGCAATCTGAAATATTTCAACCCCAAATTCAATTGTCAAACAAGATAAACAAATTACCTTTCTGCCTGCAGAATTAAACTAACAGTTCCTTCTTTTAGATCAAATATAAGAGGTGTATTCCAGTTCTTCGTACTAAAAGACAAATAAAAAGGACACTTATTAACATTTAAAATACCAAATGCTTTTTAATAAATAAATATGTATTCATTTTAAATAGTGTCTTCAGTTTCACAGTAACTGTATATATTTCTATTACAGCACTTGGCACATTGTTCTGAAATCATTCACTTACATGTCTGTATCCCTGACTAGAAACCAAATTCTGTGTAAGTAGTAAGTACTCAGTAGTAAACATTCAATAAATGTTTACTCTAGGCATCACAATATGTGAATTGAGGAATTGTAAGCGCAAGTTCTGTCATTTATTAGCTATGTGGTTTGGGCAAGTCATTTTATGTTTCTTATCTGATATAGTAGCGGCATGGCACAGTGAGGAAAGGATGAATTTTTGCCTAGACAGATCAGGATTAGCAATCCGGTTTCACCACCTATTGTCCATATGATCTTAATAAGGTCAACCTCCTAAGCATCAATTTCCTTATTTGTAAATTGAGATAATGACGACTCAAAGTGTCTAGCTAACTGCCTGTTATATACTAGATAGTGAACAAAGAGACATTATAACAACAATTAACATTATGAACATGAATATTTTTCCTGTAGGTCTCCCAGGGTCATTGTTGGGCTAAATGAAGATTTTTGTGAAGCATTCTGTAAACTGTAAAATACTATATAAATGTAGGCAATGATCATACTTATTGAATAAATTGATAAGTAAATAAACAAACAATTCCTTTAGTTTTTATAATAGGGATTCAAAGATAGGAAAGGGGGAGAGAACATTTACAAACTGAAAGACTCACCCCAAATAATCAAAGTTGCACAGTTTAAAATATTTTATCATTCCTATATATTCTGACTTCCTCTCAATTACTTTCATGGAACCAATTCTTTAAATCAGATTAAGTCTCATATTCAGATCCAGAAAATGGGGGAAGGGAAAGGCTGCAGTAAGTGGGCGCACTGGTGGGAAATTAATATTGGCTAATGCAAAGAGTCTGATACCTATTTCAATAAGTAAAGGCATGCGCAAAACAAAACAATGAATAAACTATTAATAATAACTAGGCCTGGGGTCACAGGTATGATAAAAATATGTGCTTTTGTACATTAGAAAAAATATCATAGCATGCTTCATGTACATAGTCATTAAAACTAACCTTCATTCTTTGATAAGAATAGTGATTGTGGATTTTTTTAATGTCCCCTTGCAAAATATCTGAGAGTTATGACAATGGAGATAGGTATATATATATATATATATATATATATATATCTGCCACAGAAACATAAGCTCCTTAAACCACACTGTCAAATAGAGCAAGAGTATTTTCTATACAATGATATGAAACTTCAAATGAAAATTTAACAAAGAATACTTATATATCATGTTCCTTTTTCTGGAACTTCTTTTCATATAAACCACTATACTGCTTACATGTTTGTTTTAAAAATTATATTTTTATTACTAAAAAAGGGCAACAGTTAGTAAGAACTTGGACTCAAACCCTAGCTCTTCCTTTAGGAAAGAAGTAATCTGACCTAGAGTGAGTTACTTAAATACTCTCTGTGTATTTCAGTTTCTTCATCTTGGAAAATGGGAACGGTCATACTCAACACACAGGGTAAATTAGACCATGACCAAAAAAGACAGTATAATAGAGCTCAATAAAAGATAGTTTTTGTTATCTAAAATACTAGTAGGTTTTACAATTTAGTGAAATATATTTTGGTGACGATCAGTCTCAGCACTATCTCATTCCCACTACTGCTCCCTGGTATTTCACTTTCAGAAATATTTTGTGCCTTAATAAATGTCTTGACAAGAGAGGGGAGGCAAGACTAACTTATAAAAGAATAAAAGCAATCTTATATTCTGTCATATATTAACTGGTATATGAAGATTAGGGTGACAAAAAAAAGTAAAGAGACAAAAAAAATTGAATAACAGCTGCTAAACTTTCGGTAAATATTTTAAAAAGCCACCTCTGATGCAAGTAACACATGATACTAATCCTCCAGATTCAAACATTCTGTCATTGCCAATAAACTAGCAGAATAAACCCCTCACATGGGGTGGTTAAGAGACCTACTGTCTTCAAACGAACCCTAAACTGAAGAGATCTTCTCTATTTGACTCAACCCCATGAAAATTAATTATTCACATTACTATGTGCGCTAAGTGATTGTGAAATTTCTTCACATCCGATAATCCCTTCCCTGTATATCAACTGTTTAACTAGGTATCTTTCTTGACTTTCCCCAAAGTCATACTGTTGTTCACTTTCATGTAAGAAAAATATTTCCCTTAAATTGAGCTGCTTATTTCTTTATCCCCTCTCTTCTCTGCTTCTCCCATTTAATTCTTCCAGGGTTGGCTGCTGTCCTAAGTTGTACATTCTGATTAGTAGTAGACTTATGTATAGTGAGAATTTTTAATAATTAATTATACCAATTTTTATTGTTAATAAAACTGTATACCTTTGTCTTGCACATTACTGGGCTTAGGAATTTAAGACACTACTACCCTTCATGTTTTTTGATTCATTAATTTATCCAAAAACATTTATCTACTAAGTACCTACTACATGTTGAACACTAGGTGTATAGATGTGACTAAGACACATGTAGTCCCTATCTTCAATTTTATATTCAATGATTATAACCACATAATGTTACAAATAGAAGCACAAAATGTAAAAAACAGTCCCTAACTATTCACAATTCTTGAAAGTATCAGAGTGGTTACATTAGTTTTCTGGATAGTTGAGAAGTCAGCTGGTGGCATGCTAGAGCCAGCTTGTACCAAGTGGTGTATTTTCAGGAAGTTTGTAAGCCAAGTATTAAAAGCTATTATTGGGGCACCTGGGTGGCTCAATCAGTTAAGCCTCTGACTCTTGATTTCGGCTTAAGTCATGATCTCACACTTCATGGGGTCGAGCCCCACACCAGGTTTTGTGCTGACAGTGTGGAGCCTGCTTGGGATTTTCTCCCTCTCTCTCTGCCCCTCTCCCACTGGTGCTCTCTGTCTCTCTCAAAATAAATAAACTTAAAAAAAAACAACAACTATTATTTAAAATTCAATTATATAAACTTATACTTAACATATTATATTCAAAAACAAAGATAATAATAATCCAAACTTATTCCTTCCAGATTATTTTATTACATTTTACTATTATCTATGCACTTGAGATTATATACATCTGTTGTGTCCATATGGTGGCAATTCTATATAACGGTTTGCTACTATGCATCTCTTTTCAATTCGGCCTTCAGTGACATCATAATGGTAGCTTAAACTGGCCATGGTAGAAGTATTTACATTATAGAAGTAGGTAAACACTGCAAATTGGGTTTGTTTGTTCATTTCCAGAAAGCCAGTTCGACACTTTTCAGCACATATTGAGTTACACTTTAAAAAATACCATGTATATTTGTTTTAGGCACAAGTTTCTTGGATGTACTGAATTATTCTCCATTTTCAAATACAGGTAGATTGAATATATTTTCTTCCATCATTTCTGGACAACTCTGGATTATCATTATGAATATCCATGATTACTTTGGGCTATGATATTAAGCTTGAATACTTCTTTGTATCCCTATTGAACATGTTTCAGCCTATTGTCAGGCCACTAACTGTCCCTTCTCTTCCAGTGGTTAGGTGGGTCTTTTTCCTACCATTTATCAGCTGCTCCTCTGGGCTATGAAGTTATAGTTGTTGTACTAAATTCCTTAGAACTGTGAGTAAAGTAAGAGTAAACACTATCTCAGAGAAGGTATTTTCTATTATAAAAATGATTATTAACTGATGCACAAACTTTATTAGGTCTATTTTTAGTGCTCATAGCTCATTTTTAAACCATTTCTTGGTTGGGAGTTAAGTTTGGAATAAGTGAGGTTTTAAGCAAATTAAGTTTAAACCAACCCATGTTGATGTGAAAGCTTGAAAATAAATACCTCATCACAGACAAAACTCTGGATTTTTAAGAAATGCAAGATGCTTACGAGAACACATAACATTGAAGAGATGTTGAAACAACTAAGTGTGCATAGTTCAAAGATGCTTTAATGACTCTATCACGGAATTCCAGTAAATCCACTGCATCATTAAGAACGTTACGAACCTAAACAAGGAAAAATGAAATACCAACAAACAACATTAAAATACATCAAAATTTTAACCAGGTAAATTAGTAAGATTTTGAAGCATAAAAAAATTCAGGGGCACCTGAGTAGTTTAAGCATCTGACTTGATTTCGGCTCAGGTAATGATCTTGTGGTTTAGGTCATGAGATGGAGCCCTGCATTTGGTTCTGTGCTGACAGTGTGGAGCCTTTTTGGGATTCTCTCTCTCCCCCTCTCTCTACTCCTCCCTTCCTTGGGCATGCATGCATGCATGCACACACTCTCTCAAAATAAATAAATAAATGTTAAAAAATCAACCAACAAAAGAAATACACAGAAAATGTCCTAGAAATAAGTAGAAATAAGTATATTTCTAACCTGAAAGCCAATTTGAACGGTCTAGCAAGGGAGAAATAAGGTGAAAAATGCTATAACATTGAGATATAGCTATATATATATGCATAGAAGTTGGAAAGAGACTGTACGATTTCTGCCCCAAACAGAAAAATATCTTCTTAGGGCTAGGTTTTACTTTAAAATTTAAGTTCTAGGGGCGCCTGGGTGGCGCAGTCGGTTAAGCGTCCGACTTCAGCCAGGTCACGATCTCGCGGTCCGTGAGTTCGAGCCCCGCGTCAGGCTCTGGGCTGATGGCTCAGAGCCTGGAGCCTGTTTCCGATTCTATGTCTCCCTCTCTCTCTGCCCCTCCCCCGTTCATGCTCTGTCTCTCTCTGTCCCAAAAATAAGTAAACGTTGAAAAAAAAATTAAAAAAAAATACAATTTAAGTTCTAAAAAAAAGAGATACAATAATTTTAAAAAGTCAAAATGGAGTAGGAGGTATTAGTAAAGAAACCAACTGCACAGTCAAGCTTCACAGAGGGGCATATGTATTTCCACATGTAAAAACACAGAGATAATGTATAAGAAAGCTAAGCACCAACTAACAAAGATTTCACCTATAATAGTCAAACTGTTACAAAGTCAGTAACAGAACAAAGTTTGCAAGGATTTTAACACTTGGCAGTATCTGCTAACAACCTTGATATTAATGGGACAATCTGCAGCAAATGAAGAAAAATGTTGAGCAAGTTAAATTTCTCTAATCTTTTGTCAATACCAGAATGGGGAAGACACTGTAGCAAGAGGTAAAAATAGAGAAAAAGAGATTAATTGTACCTATAAGTTAGCATTTCTTTAAATTCCCCTCAAAATATTATCATCTTTCTAAATATAATATGACAATTACAGTATTAATGAAGAATGAATGGGTATGGAAAAAAAGAAAGATAAAGTCAAACTTCTCTTAACTACTTCTTTAAAGCACTTCTACCTATAAGGCATATTGTATTTTTATTATCTGGTCAACTCCCATACTCACCAAACTAGTAAAACTGCTATAACCACGATGGAGATAGCAACATTACATATACATATATTCCTTGACCCAGAAATCTTACTTTTAGAATTCTATCACAAAGATAAATAAACAAAATTATGAAATAACACACACACACACACACACACACACACACACACACACACACACACAGTACCACTAATGTCTTTAGAAACCAAAATTTTCTTACAAAAGAGCTATAAGTAAGAAATTAAGAGTAAAACTCTATAATCTTAAATTTGAATTTGAAACTTCAGTATATACTCATGATGTATTTTTATCTGTCAAAAACAATACACTTTGGGGCTCCTGGATGGTTCCCTTGGAAGAGCATGCAACAATTGATCCCAGGGTTTAAGCCCCATGCTGAATGTAGAGATTACTAAACAAACAGACAAACAAGCAAACAAACAAAACAAACACATATTATCTAGAAGTAATTATCAAACCAGCAGCAAGGAGCACACCCAGCACACACCAGGATTATGGTCTCTAGATAACATTTCCCTCCCAAAAGGAGCAAGTCCTTCTTGTAAAAATTGTTGATTCCAAGTCTGGGACAGGAAATATATGAGAAGCCTATAATATCTTATCAGAAATACAAGCAAGTTATTGAAGTCATCTCAAAAGAACATAGGAGCCAATTGGTCAAAGATGGGACCATTTGAACATTAAATAGAATAATGACTGCAACAGATTGAAACACAACAAAAATGTTAAAATCTGCAAGTTTATAATGATAACATCAACAAACAATAACAATAACAAGATACAACAACAACAATAATAACAATAACAAGATTCATTGGGAAATCAACTCATTATCTGAAGAATGGTAAATACAGAAAATACTTCAGAACTGTCTCAACTCAGGGTAACCAAATGGTTGAAAAGGCAAATGTCTTATGGGAGAACTTTACTAACAAATGCAGAAGGAATGATAGAATTACAAGACTATCATTTTGCAAATCCCAATGAAACACAGTTTTAGACCAGTATTATCAATGGCTACTAAAAATATTAAAGTAAAAGCCCAATGGGCTTTTCAGGCTTTTCTTCATGATAGATGAATCAGACTCAAAACACCTGGAGACACTGATTCATCCTAACATCACTAAAAGAGAGATAAACAGACATGTGTGTCTCTTGATGTGATGCAATAGGAAGTCCACAACATTACTTACAAAGTGTTCTTTATACTTATCAAGGTTCTCAATCTGATAACCAGTCTACAAGAAATACTGGGCCTAGATGAACATGTTAAATGGAATCATCCCATAGAGATGCAAACAGGTAAATGTGAAAGTTTTAGCAAAACAAACCACCTGGTTTCTTAAATAAACAGATAAGAACGAGGAGAAATTGCTTCACATTTAAACAGACTGAAGAGACAAATTAGCTAAATGCAATGTGGAACTTTGTTTCCTGATGTAAACAAACCAACCATCTAAATATATATTTAGAAAATAATTGGAGAAGTGGGACCTATTATCACAGAAAGATATATTTAGGAAACAACTGGAGAAATGTGAAATGCTACCATGGTTATGTTAAAATAAATTTTCATCTTTTAGACACTTTTTGAAAGTCTTAATAAAAAGAGTAATGCTAGACTAATGGTAAAAAAAAAAAAGACACTGATATGTTTGCTTCACTCTTGAATAAGTGGGGGAAATGACTGCAAAATGAAGAGTAGTCTGATGGTAGGTGCTTTAAAGGAGCTGGGGTTGTTTTGGGAGGAAGAAATTATTGTGGTCTGAAATCAGCAATGACGGATAAGGAAGACTCTCACCTAATCTCCAAACCCAGTAATACATGGCAGAAAGAAGAAAAGCACTTCTACTTGAAAAGGCTGTGGAAGTAACACCAGTCTCAGGAATCAGCCAGTTTTTACTTGGAACAAAAATGTGAAGAGTGCTTTCAATGAAAAGGCTGGGTTGTGTCTGCAAAGCCACAGATGTGTGCTGCAGGTTGCATACTGCTCAACTCCAGGGCTCTAGAATAGGCCCCCTAGAACTAAGCAGACCATGACTGTAGGTGGTGACTCTGTGAGTCTCTCTAAGTCCAAGGCTTTTTTAGGTCTTTCACAAAGGGGAGACTACAACTACCTTACAGATCCCCATGCTCTAATTTTAAAGAGACCTAGATCAGCCCACTTGTCTCACATCAAGTACTTTTAGTTCCATTAGCCAGCAGAGCCACTCTGCTGAGTGAGAGCCACTCACTGCCTTTGCCTCCCTGCTTCTGGACCAGGAGTCAAGCACATCGGAGACGTCACACTCTCCATTTTTGTTCCATCTCTGGACCTAAGAGATGTTTCCCTTGTTTTTGAGTCCAGATGAGTCTTTTTAAAAATTACCTTTAAATACTATATTAAATAGACATATATTATTGATCTCTGTGGAACCATAGGTATGTCTCTTTTTCCAAGTGTGAACTTATGACACCATCATAAGCCTAGGCTCCCAGAGACCTTTTTAAAGGTCCAAAATACCAACCTCTCCTAGAAACATTTTAAAGCTAATGGAAGAAAATGAAAGTGTTTTTTTTTTTTAATGTTTATTTATTTTGAGAGACAGAGAGAGACCTGGCATGAGTGGGGGAGGGGCAGAGAGCGAGGGAGACACAAAATGCGAAGCAGGCTCCAAGCTCTGAGCTGTCAGCACAGAGCCTGACGCAGGGCTCAAACTCACGAGCTGTGAGATCATGACTTGAGCTGAAGTCGGATGCTCAGCCAACTGAGGCACCCAGGCGCCTCCCCCACTTTTTTTTTTTAAGTAGGCTTTACAACCAGTGTGGAGCCCAATGTAGGGCTTGAACTCGTGACCCTGAGATCAAAACTTAGACAGTTAACCAACTGAGCCACACAGGTACCCTGAAATGAATGTTTTTAAAGGAAGTTATATGTTAGTTTCTTTATAGCAATATGATACGTAGTGAAAAAAACTGGCTGTTAATACAAGTTTAGGAAAATTCAATATTTAATAATACAATTGTATAGGCCTCTGCCATTATTCAAATTACAAACAGATTTCTTAAAATTCATGTTTGCCTAAAGCTTCACATGGGGGAACTCCTTTTTTGTGAATCTGGAACACTAGAACTTAAACAGGAATAAAACATCCCAGCTATAATAACAAAACTAAAGACATTCTAGTAATTACGGTTATAATTTCAAAACTATGGTGAATCCCACATCAGAAATGTCCTGTGCTGAATTTTAAAATGCACCCATTTACTCTGTTCAATTCAGGGAAGCTCCAGGATTAACTTCTTAATACTTGTGTCACCCAATACTTCTACCTGACCACAATATTTAGACTCCTCCGATTGACATAAATCCAAAAATTCTGTTTCCACATTTGTAAAATACTCATTTAATCCTATGCATAGATATAATCATAGTAATAGTTACCATTTATTATTGTTTTACATACATCAACTCATTTAATCCTCAAAATCACTCTATTGTTAACTCTTACCTTTACAAAAGATAAGGTGACTAAAAATCAAATAATCTTGAATTATAGCAACTATTAGGAGCCAAAGCTGTGCCCCATGCTAAACTGAGTGTCAGCAGAGAGAGAAAAGTAAAGTTGAAACTT